CATGGTTTCATTAGTAAATTCTATCAAATATTCAAAGAAGAATTAACACCAATTCTACACAAACTTTCTACAAAGTAGATGAAAATGAAACGCTTCCTAATTTATTTTTATTTTTCAGTTCTTAAGTTTTTTGTTGCTGTTGTAAAAATATGTATGTATATAACACATTTGCCAATTCAATATTTTTCAGGTGTACAATTTAGCGATATCAATTACATTAATCACGCTGTGCAACCATCATGTATTATTGACAACTTTCCCATCATTAAAAAAAACCCAAATGATGGCTCCCCATTTCCCTTTCCCTCCCACCCCTAGTAATCACTAATAAACGCTGATTTCTATACATTTGTCTATTCTTATTATTTCATATAAGTAAGATCATATAATACCTGTCCTTTTGTGATTGACTTATTTCACTCAGCATAATGTTTTCAAAGTTCATACATGTTGTTAGCATGTATCAGGACTTCTTTTCTCTTTCATGGCTAAGTAGTATTGCATGGTGTGTATGTATCACATTTTGTTTATCCATTCATCCACTCATGGACATTTTGGTTGTTTATACTTTTTGACTGTTGGCCATAATGTCGTTGTTATCCTCCTGGGTGAAATGTTTGTTCCAGTCCTTTGCCCATGTTTTGATTGAGCTGTTTGCCTTTTTGTTGTAAGCTATAGAAGTTTTATATATATATTAGGCCCTTGTCTGACATATGGTTCCTGAAAATTTTCTCCCAATCTGTAGGTTGTCTTTTCATTTTTTGATGAAGTCTTTAGATGAAGAAAGTATTTAATTTTTATGAGGTCCTATTTGTCTATTTTGTCTTTTGCTTCTCGAACTTTAGTTGTTATATCTGATAACCTATCATTAAAAAATAGGTCCCACAGTTTTGTCCCTATATTTTCTTCTAAGAATTTTATGGTTTTAGTTTTCATATTTAGGTCTGGATCCATTTTGAGTTGGTTTTTGTGTATGGTGTGAGGTATGACTCCTGAGTCATTCTTCTCTATGTGGAAATCCAATTTTCCCAGCACCATTGACTGAAATGCAACCAGGATGCTCCTTAGAAGCAAGGATGGCGAGACTATGTCTCACATACTTTAGACACGTTATCAGGAGGGATCAGTCCCTGGAGAAGGACATCATGCTTGGTAAAGTAGAGGGCAAAAAGAGGAAGACCTTCAATGAGATGAATTGATACAGTGGTTGCAACAATGAGCTCAAGCATAACAACGATTGTGGGGATGGTGCAGGACTGGGCAGTATTTTGTTCTGTTGTACATAGGGTCGCTATGAGTTGGAACTAACTCGATGGCACCTAACAACAACAACAACATTTATTGATGAGACTCTTCTTCTCTCATTGAATGGACTGGGCACCCTTGTGGCAAATCAGTTGACCATAGATGTATAGGTTTATTTCTAGATTGTCAACTCTATTCAACTGGTCTATGAGTCTATTATTATAACTAGTAGAAGGCTGTTTTGATTATTCCCAACTCATTTTATGAGACCAGAATAATCCTGATTCCAGAACCAGGCAAAGGCATTACAAGAAATAAAACTATGATTTAATATCCTTCATGAATGCAGATGCAAAAACCCTCAAAAACATTAGCAAACTGAATTCAGCAATATATAAAAAGTATAATATATCATGACCAAGTAGAAAGATGGTTCAACATTAGAAAAAACAACCAATGCAATGTAGCACATCAATAAATATACAAAAAGCATTTGACAATATGCAATATTCACTGATGATTAAAAAAAACAACTCTAAGCAAACTAGGAATAGAAGGGACTCTCTTAATCTGATAAAGAATATCTTCAACAACAAACATCATATTGACTGAGAAAAGGCCAAACTGTTTTCTTTCACCACTCCTATTTAATATTGTACAGGAAGTCCCAGCCTGTGCAATAACACAATAAAAGAAATAAACGGTATACAAATTAGGAAGAAGTAAAACTGCCTCTAGTCACAGATGAAATGACTGTCTATATAGAAAATCCAAATGAATCTACCAAAAAGCTACTGGAACTAAATAAGTGCGTTTAGAAAGGTCACAGGATTCAATATACAAAAATCTGTAGTATTTCTATATACTAGCAATAAACAATTGGAAACTGAAGTTAAAAGAAAGAATGTATCAAATGTGATAGGACCAAAAAAATTAGATATTTAAGTATACATCTAATTAGATATGTGTAAGATCTGACTGATGAAAACTACAAAATACTGAAATTGAATTAGACCTAAATAAATGGGGACATTAACCATGTTCATGGATTGGAAGACTAAATAATGGTAAGATGTCAAGTCTTCCCAAACTGATGTATAGATTCAAAGCAATCCCAATACAAATTTTAGTAGGCTATTTTGTAGAAAGTTACAACATGATTTTAAAATTTATATGGAAAAGCAAACAACTAGAATAGTCAAAATAGTTATGAAAAAGAAAAGCAAAGTTGGAAGACTCATACTACCAAATTTCAAGACTTATAAAGCCACAGTAAGCAAAAGAGTATAATACTGACAAAAGGGTAAGCACAGAGCCTGACAGAGTGTCCAGAAGTAGACCCACACATATATATTCAATTGATTTTAAATTAAAGATCAAAGACATTTCAATGAAGAAAGCATAGTCTTTTCAGCAAAAGATCCTGGAAAAATTGGATATTTATATGCAAAAAAAAAAGAAGGGGGAATGTTGACTCATATCTTATACCACAATAAAAAATTAACTCTACATATAATATAGACCTAAATGTAAAACCTAAAAGTATAAAATGTCTCAAAGAAAACATAGGATACAATCTTTGTGACTTTAAGTTAGGCAAAAAAAAATTTGATATACACCAAAACACGATCCACAAAGAAAAATACTGATATATTTGACTTTTTAAATTTTTTAAAATATTGCTCTTTAATAATCACTGCTATGAAAGTGAAAAAAACAACCCACCAACTGGAAAAAATATTTTCAAAACATCTATCTAATAAAGGGTTTGCATCCAAAATATGTAAATACCTCTTGAAACTCAATAATAAGAAAACAACACAATTTTTAAAATGAGCAAAATATTTGAAGAAACACTTCACCAAAGAAGCTAAATAATTATAATTATAAAATTTATTTAAACTATGAAATTATTATAGAAATTATAATTCTCTCCCTTTGAGTGTGGGAGAGACTTGTAAATATGAAGGGATTCACTCCCATGATTAGGTGACTTGTCACTTGTCTTCTGAGTTCCTCAAAAAGGAGATTATCCTGGGTGAGCATGACCTAATGAGGCCCTTCCTGAATGGAGAGGTTATCCTGCTGGCCTTGAGGAAGCAACAACCATGTTGCAAACTGCCAATGGGGGAGCCCACTAGGCAAGGACCAAATAGTAGACTCCAGGCAATGATAACATTCCCTGGCCTACAGCCACCAAGGAAATGGGGACTGAATTCTGCCAAACACCGGTGAACTTGGAAACGGACCCCAAGTCTCAGATGAGATCAGTGTCCCAGCTAACACCTAGATTTCAGCCTAGTAGTAAGACTCTGAGGAGAGAACTCAGCTACGCCACGCCCAGATATCTGACCTACAGAAACTGTAAAAATAAAAAATGTGTGTTGTTTTAAGTCACTAGGTTTGTGATGACTTATTCCACTGTAATAGAAAGCTGATAAAAGAGTGATTAATGAATTAAAATGTGTCAAGCTGGTTTAATCAATGAGACTACTCCCATGGTTTTGACTCTAACATACCTTCACTCAATAGTAAGTCAATTTCAATGATTTACTATACATTGAACCAAACAGCATCATAAAAGGTAACATCATAGAGAGAAGAGGGAAAGACTAAAGGACAATGGCTTTGGAGAATGTTGTTGTTAGCTGCCATCCAGTCAGCCCCCAACTCATGGCACCCCCATGCACAATGGAACAAAATGCTGCTGGATCCTGCACCATCCACGGGATTGGTTGGGGATCAAACCTTTGTGATCCATTGCGTTTTCATTGGCTGATTTTCAGAAATAGATCACCAGACCTTTCTTTCTAGTTCATCTTAGTCTGGAAGCTCCACTGAAGCCTGTTCAACATCATAGCAAAATGCAAGCCTCCACTGACAGGCGGGTGGTGGCTGTGCATAAAATGCATTGGTCAAGAATCGAACTCCTGAATGGAAAGTGAGAATTCGACAACTGAACCACCAATGCCTCATGCCTTCGGAGAGTGTTGTTGTTGTTGTGTGCAATCAAGTCAATTCTGTCTCATAGCAACCATATATGACAGAGTAGAGCTGTCCCACAGCATTTCCTAGGCTATAAATCTTTACGAGGGCAGATCGCCAGGTTTTTCTCCTGCAGAGTGACTGGTGGGTTCAAACCACCAATCTTACGGTCAGCAGCCTAGTGCCTTAACCATTGTCCCACCAGGGCTTCTCTTTGGAGAATAATTGCTCTCAATTCTATTCAGTGGTGGCCACAGAAAGCTCATCAGAGACTGGTGGAAGGGACTTACATTGGAAGTTCTCTGATATTGTTTCATCATACTTGATAACTCACTGTCTCTACAGGCATTGTTTCTCCACCTCTACGTAATGACTGTGGACCACCCAAGTACTAACATCTTTCTGGGCTGGACATCCTCCCACAGGTCTCCAAGGCCAACAGTGGTATCCAGGACAAAAACAATGCCGTGTTCACTGGACTTTCTTAACACTGATGACACTCATTTACGAGGCTAGGCAACAGGAAATATCTACTCAGCTATATAACTATAAAAGAAAGTATGAATCACTCCTGAAGTGTCTTTTCATATATGTGAAAAAGTTTTTTTTATCTCAAAGAATATTATTTGAATGACACATTGCAATATTCTTGCAAAATTTAAAAAAAAATTTACACTCTTCATTTTCATAACATTATTCTATAGCATTGCTAATTCTAAACATCATATGGTTAAAATGCAACATATAGTAACTTACCCTGTAATTTTTAGTCTGACAAAATCAACCTTCATAGAGACAAATCTATCTGAATTCCAGCTGATGCTCCTCAGGTGCTCCACAAGGTCAGCACAGACTTTGTAACCTCTTTTAAGCACACGCAAGACCATAATGTCACAGCATCCTATGTCTTTCATAATATCCTTAGCCAGCCACTCAATTCTGAAAGAAGCAAAGGATAAAAGATAGATCAAAGCACAATTACTTGTATTTTTGTTCCCTTTAGAAAAATGAATGACACAGCATACATGTTAGATTATGCAGGCAAGTGTGGAAAAGAACTTGGAAGACAGAAGCCTACAGAGAAGCTTTTTTAACGTTGGACAAAGAGAGTGTGTTCAAAACACACTTCTGATCATCGCATCAGTCATGGCATATTCTAGCTCCTCTATGTCACAAAAAGGATAATGGTGTAAAATATAATGTCCAAGATCATGAATGCTCTTATTTTATCACTACAGAGCCTGTTTGTTAACCTGAACAATGTTATGATGCTATTTGGCGATATTATGCTCATTTTATAGCAGAGAGAAAGGAAGCGGGGAGTGACTCACCCACCTTACAAGATTATAGGAGACTGGTGAAAGGTTGGCAGTTTGAACCTTCCAGCCACTCCACAGGAGAAAGATGTGACAGTCTGCTTCCATAAAGATTTACAGCCTTGGAAACCCTACTGGGCAGTTCTACTACTCTGTCCAAGGGGGTTGCTATGAGTCGGAATTGACTCAACAGCAATGAGTTTGGTTTTTGGATTTTGGAGGAATAGTCAAGTAACTGTCAAAAGATAACACTTGTAAATTTTATAAGTTTAAAATAAAACATGCAAACTTGTGACTCTGTATGTTAAATGCCTGAGATGTTTAAATGAAAACAAAGCTATCTAAAGATTCAGACTAAATTTGGTTAGATGTTCTCCCAATGTGAAATCAAACATTTAAAAAATTCAGGCTATGCACCATTTTCTTGGCAATATGCATGGCAAAGACCATTTTAGAAACTGCAACCTTTTTTTGAGATACAGAATGGCCATTTGCTGGACCGTGATAGTAACTGTATTACTGATTTTATCTCTGATATAGGAAAACCATGTAATAAAAAAAAATCATAAATGAAAATAAAATTATTTAAAGATATAAACTAAATTTGGTTAGGTGTATTCCTAATGGAAACCTCCTCTTTTTCCAGAAATGTAAGTTATGCCACATTTTCTTGTTAATGTACAAGGTCCTATTTAAGAAACTGATATATTAAAATCCTTACTTGCAGTACAGGAGAAAAAAAAGATAACACTTGTCTTATATTTGACAGAGGTAGCACATTACCTGTGTGAAAGGTGCCTCAGAGTACAGTTCCAGTGGGCGCTAGTCACATGGATCACTATGCGAATGAGGCTGCCTGCAGTTGCACGATGTGCAGTAGCCTTGGACTGGCGTTTGGTACCTAATTTGGAACTGCCTTCGTATTTTTTCTGTTTCATGTCTATAGATCCAGTTGCCCAGGAGTATGCATTTTAACAATTTCACCAGATGATTCTCATGTACAGGACACTTACTGGCTTAGGGCAAGCTCACCCAGGATTCATCATGTACTAGATCAGGATGCATAAGTTATGAAGGTCAAGTAAGAAAAGCTGGAATGTCTTTAAACCAGGGGTTCCCAAACTAGTATCAAGGGAAAACTCTTTGGAGAGTTATTAAGAAGTGAACTGAGTATAAAGTCTCCTATGGCACAAAAAAAGTTAGCTTAACTGTTCAAGTCAAGCAGGGTTGTTTTCCTTTTTAGCAGGGGAGGGGCAGGAATTTTCATATCTTTAATATGCTAATGTTTGTTTTGAATTGCCAATAGGAAAATTTAGCAATTTGGGAAATGCAAAATTTCCGAAGTTTATTTGATCATGGAATCTTCTATTCCCTCTGAGGATCAAAATTTGTATTCCACGGGAAAGCCATCTTAACCCATGAGAAACCTCACACTAGACCTTATTTTATTAATATACTATAATTTGAGAGAACAAGAAATATACAAGTCTTAGCCAATGGAAAATCTTAGTATTTGGGTGAAAGAATGACATTTCCCTTTGCTTAAAGAACAGGGATTAATGGAAAGATAGCCTGGGAATAGTGATCATCTAGTCTGTTTCAAACTTTCTTTTGGCTGAGGACCTATTTCATAAAGTTCAGTCTTAACTCAGAAGAATGTAACAGAGAAAAAAACCTTGAGGCAGTAATGCTATGGCTTAAGGAAGGGGTTGGAGTGGGGAGTCCAAAGTCTCAATCAGCTCCTGCTCCCCAGTGCCCCTCACCCAACTTCTGAGTCTGTGAAGAAACTCTGACTGCTAGGAGTGTGGTGGGAAAATCACGGACCTAGAAGCACCTTTGTTTTCCATATAAATGTGAAGGCTTAAGTATCTAACTTTTACAATTACCAGAAAAACCAAACCCAAACCCATTGCCATCGAGTTAATTCCGACTCATAGCGACACTATAGGACAGAGTAGAACTGCCCCATAGGGCTTCCAAGGAGAGGCTGGTGGATTCAAACTGCCGACCTTTTGGTTAGCAGCCAAACGCTTAACCACTGTGCCACCAGAGCTCCAAGAAACTACATACAGGTACATGGAAAAGTTATACTCTTGGCTTTAAGGCAGTTTTGTTAAAGGGGAATGATTTATACTGATGCTATAGTGGATTGAATTGGAGAAGGCACTTTGAAAACCAAGAGACAAATGGGGGTGGCAAAGGATCTTTAGGACGGGACAGAAAAAGTTGACTTTAGGAAAGCCAATTGCCTAGGAAAAAGCCAGAAAACAGCTATGTGAATAGGTCAGAATGGGCTAGAAATTTGTTGTTGTTAGGTGCTTTGGGGAGCCCTGGTGGCACAGTGGTTAAGAGTTTGGCAGTTAACCAAAAAGTTCAGCAGTTCAAAGCAGCTCTTTAGAAACCCTATGGGACAGTTCTACTCTGTCCTATAGGGTCACTATGGGTTGGAATCAACTTGACGGCAATGGGTTTGGTTTTAGGTGCCTTGGAGTCTATTTCAACTCATGGTGTTGTTGTTATTGTGTATTCCGACTCACAGAGAACCTATATGACAGGGTAGAACTGCCCCCATAGGGTTTCCAAAGCTGTAATCTTTATGAAAGCAGACTGCCACATCTTTCTCCCTCGGAGCAGCTGGTGGTTTGAACTGCTGACCTTTTGGCTAGCAGCTGAGAATAGCCGTTGCACCACCACGGAGGATATCTATGTAGATAGGCCAGAATGGATTAGAAATGGTATTCTAGAAATAGTACTCTGCCGATATTTTTAAGCTGCAAATACTCCTATTCCCAAAATATTACCATTGGCTGGGAAACATAGCTATACAAAGACTGGCCCATGTGTGATACGTTAGTTGGTCTGAGCGGAAGCTTCGATAAAGGCGAGGGCTTTAGGGGAGTGTCCTATATGAAGGTAAAGGTAACCTCTTTCCTCTCCCTGGTTGGAACTTAAGAGTCAGTGAAAAGCATGAACCAAAGGTTCTTGGGTGAGGAGCAATGCCTTCTCAACCCTCATCTTCATCAGTTTTGTACAGGACACTGTTGATATATGACGCTGTTGTTTATAATACCTTACATATGTATAGCTTTCATACCATTGCCCTTGAACAAATGTCCAGGTAAGCAGTTCAGGTAAAGCATAAATCCATTTTTATTCCAAATTCACTGTCCTATAAAATTTCTCTCTACCACTACAAACAAGTAGTTCAAGAATAGGGTCCTAAACTATATTATGATTCACACAGAGAGGACCAGCCTAGCCCAAGACCAAGACTGACACAAGAAATATCACTCACCTGTCCACAATGATGCCATGAGGTATGAGGACATATTCCAAATCTTCATAATAGTGCTGTGGGTATGTGAATAAATTCAAGTCATACCATGGCCAATTATCCATAATCTGTAAATCAGATTATTTTGGATATGGTATTTTTCATTGGAAATTTATTTTAAAAACACACAAAAAAAACCAAAATGAAAGACAGAATGATACTGAAAACAGAGAACAGATCTGAAGATCTCAATACTGTCTTAAATTATATTCTTTGAACCTATGAAAACTTCAGTGGGGTAAGGTTACTTGTCTGAAGCAACCTGATAAAAGACGTGGTACCGAAGTGAACAGAGTCCTCCATTCCTAACTATTAGCATCACACAATAAGAATGCAATGGCAAATTTGAAATTTGAAATTTTGTAAGTCAGTTAACATAATGACTTATAGTTAATCTGATAGTATTGCCTATAAGAGTGTTGTCATTGTTGCTGTTAGTTGCCATCCAGTCAATTCAGACTCATGGTGACCCCATGTGTGAAGAGTAGAACTGCTCCATAGATTTCACCTTTTGGAAGCAGATTACCAGGCCTGTCTTCTGAGGCACCTGTGGGTGGGTTCAAACTGCCAAACTTTTAGATAGTAGTTAAGGGCTTACAAATGTTTGCACCACCCAGGGATGATTCTGTAAGAGTGTACATGTATAAATATATAAGTTATACCTAAATTATAAATATTAGTATGAATACATTATTATGAATAATATTAGATTTGTAATTATATTAATATATAATATACTGATTCATTACAATATATTATTATAGTATATTATATATTACTTTATGTTAATGGTAAATGCCCCATCTGCCTGGTAAATACTACCAATTAAAGTAGATGTCTCTTGGGATTAGAGTATACGGAAACTTTGAGTGACCCAGTCCATTATAGTAGAAACTTTAAAAGGATGTCCTATGGTGGGAACAAAAGCCAGTCCTTTTGGGTCGCTATGAGTCAGAATCAACTTGATGGCAAGGGGTTTGAGTTTTTTGGGTTTTTATTGGGAAATTGATGCCTATTCATAGACTGGATAGTCTGGTAGCAAGTCTTCTTCTTCCTTAGGACTGGATGTGCAAGTTTTATGGTTAGAATAGTAAAGAGTTGGGAGAGAAAATGAAGATGAAGATGGAGTTATTTTTACTTTAAAGAAAAGATGTGAAAATGAAAGTGTTACACAATCAAACCACATTGTAGCTGTATTGCAGGTTCCCATCCTTCAATAACTCCTGCACACTTTCATCAGACTCTTCTGTCCAGCTTTAAGCTTTTGAGGCCCTCCATAATACAGATAGATCCTAATTTTCCAGCCCAACTCCCGAAACCATCCCCTTCCTGTCCTCTGGCTGGTTTTCCGCCAAGTCCTGATCATTCCCAGTTCTATGTTCTGTTCAGGTGTCTGTCTTGCATCCTGTGCCCTTTCCCTTTTCCCCCTCTATCTCTGTAGTCCAAGCTCAGCTCTCTCCTCTGAAGCTCAGGTCAGGTCCTACCTCTTCCTGGAGGCCTTGCTGACTACTCCCACCATCTGATCTCCTTTCCTGAACTCCTGGTGCTCCTTGCGGCTCCCTTCTCTTCCAAAGACTCCAATTCAGGTTTCTTGAGAAGACTCCTGTCCCTTCTACACTTTTCCTTACTCAGTCTAACCTGTTTTCTGTTGTCTTAGATCCCATTTGTGCTTGATTTAATGCTGGGACATTCCCTTGCTTGCTACCTTCCGCCTCATGCAGGACTCAAAACCAGTTCCCCTTTGCTTTAGAAGGAAAGCTTGTGGTCCAACCCCTACTCACTCCCATCCCAGACCTGGGTTCTGGAATGCCAGCCAAACCAAACCAGATTATTATTTCCCCCCTAAATTTACCCTTTCCCTAACTCGGTAAAGAGCAACTCATTCTTCCAGTTGCTCACACCAAAACCTTGGGGTTGTTGACTCCTTTCTTTCATATCCCACATGCAGCCCATTAGCAAATCCTATTGTTAATTCCTTGAATGTTTAACCAGGACCACCTCTCAGCACCTCCACTGCTACCACCCTGGTCTATGCCACATCATTTCTCTAAGGACTACTGCAGTAGCTACTAAACTGTCTCCCTTCTTCCACCTTTGCTTCCCTCCAAATGGCAACTGGAGTGAACTTTCAAATTTTGTCAAGGACTTCCCATTCCACTCTGAGTAAATTCAGAGTCCTCACCACAGCCAACAAGGGTCTATCTTGCCCCTTTACCCCCAGGCACTCTCTTCCTCCTTCACTTCACTTCAGCCACTGGTCTCCTTGCTATTCCTTGAAGTGTCAGGCATGCTTCTGTCTCAAGAACTTTGCACTTGCTATTTCTTTTGCCTACAATATTCTTTCCCTGGACAGCCACATGGCTTGCCCTTTGCTTCCTTCAAATCTCCATTCAAATGTCACCTCTTCATAGAGGCCTTCCCTGACCACCTAGATAAAACAACAACCCCCACCCCGTCCCATCTCTGTATTTCTCTTGCCCAGCTTTCCTTTTTTTTCATAGCATATGTTACAACCTGATGTGACATGGGTGTGCACCTGTTTGTTTTTTGTCTTGTGTCTTCCCAATAGAAAGTTAGCTCTTTCTGGCTGACTTTCTTATTCATTGTTGTATTCCCAATGCCTAGAATGCTGTCTGAACCATAGTAAGTGCCCAAAAATATTAAATGAATGAATGAATGACAGTCTCTGTCCGTGAACTACTAAAATACATGAACTCCAGCCTCAACCCTCAGTTTGTCTCCTTGTGATAAAGAGCCCCATTGCTCAAGGCTATCAAAACTCCCATCTACCCTCTGCAGACTAATAGTGAAACGGTGCATGTCATCTATAAATTTGCCCTACTTCTATCAGCAAATTGGTTGGGTTCCAACGTAGAATTTGCACAGCATAACTCTGGCTTCTACTCTGAGAATTCCCTGAGCCTGCTGTAACCACCAGCCCCACAATGGCTGGTCAAAGCCTGAACTACCAGCTATGCATGAGAAGCCTCCATAAGATCCTCTGGCAGGCCAAGGTAAGGACCATACAAGAATAGCCCAACCAGGCCCTTGAGAGATCATCCAAATGCAGAACACTTTCTGGCTCCTTTTCCAGAGCACACACATTGCCTACTTCACATCCTGGAGCCCTTCCACGTGGTGGGAGTCATTAACTAGGGTTTTTCTGAGCCCATGCCTCCCACCATGTTCTAGGTGACTCTCAGAGACTATTTTTCCATCCTTGTTCAAGAGCTCAGCTCTGACACTTACTGGCTGTGATGTTGGGGAACTTTCCCTGTCTGAGATAATGTCTTCCACCTTTAAACAAGACGTAATAAAACTTATGGTCAGGGTTGTTGTTAGGATTAAAAGGGATAGTACAGACAATGTACTTAGAGTACCTAGCACATTGCCTGGCATATATAAGTGCTTAATAAATAATGCTAAAATTTTTGATAAGCAAATGACAAAACAAATTTAGAGATGAAAACTGTAATGGTAATCTGTAGGTCAGAGGCAGCATAGAGTAGTGGTTAAGAGCATGGACCTAGAAATTCAACATACCTGGAGGCAAGTTTAGGCTCTACCACTTACTAGTTGTGGGACCTTGGGCATACTGATTTTTCTAAGTTTCAGTTTTACTCATTTGTAAAATGGAGGTCAATGCCTATTGTATAGGGCTCTTGTGAGGATTAAGTAATAATGAATATAAAACTCTTATATCAGCAACTGGTCTATAGTAAGTATCAATAAATGTTGACCATTTAGATGGACTAAAAGTATCAATATTCAAATTATAAATTACATTATTTAACCAAGTAAAGAAGTACCCCAAACCTATTTGCCAAAGTTTTGATACCCTAGTTAAAGTTCTAAATTTAAAAGTAGAAGAGATGTATTTCTCTAAAACTATTCCATAATCCAAATTGGCCTTATTTCCAATTAATCTGAAATAGTGAGTTTTCTTTATTGAGATAAAAGACAATTGAGGAACTACTGGTTTATGTTTTTTATCCTTAATAGTGGACACATATTTCATTGTAAATAAATCCTAAGCCTGGAAGAATGGAGGTTGCAGTGAACTGTAGATAATTGTTATTCACCTGCTTTTTTTTCTTTAAAAAAAAGAAGTCTTTAAATAGTTTTAGTATCACAGATAATGTTCTCTAAGTTTATACAGAACAATGCTGTCTCTGTTCAAAAAGGCAAAACATCGCCAAACTCAGGAAGTGACAAACACATTCACCGAGCCATTTTATACAACATTCAAATCCCAGAACTAATTCCAATTCTTTTTCTCATTTGAAAATCTCACATTGAAAACCTTCTAAGTCATTAAAAATAATTTTTTTGCTTAGAATATTTCTTGCATTATGTTTTCAGCCCCCCCCGCCCCCCCCACTGAGAAAAATAGTTTGGAAACACATCTAAAAAGCTACTATCTGCTCCTCTCTGCCACTGAGCTCCACCCTCTGGGCCCCACTCTGTCCCTGAGGCAGGAACCATGGCTGTGCTTAGTCCCCAGGCTCCCATCTTGCCCTCCATCATCAAAGAGGAAGGGAGTCTCATCCCTTAGCTCTGATTCAAAGAATCCCAGGCACGAACATCGCCTGGCCCAGCTGGGCTCACAGGCTTAGCCCCAGAGCCAGGAAGTTGGGGGCAGCCCACATCAGAACCACATATTTAGAATAATGGGTAGAGGTGGTTTCATAAAAGAAGGGCCTCAGGTTCTGTAACCAGAGGACTCGACAGAACAAATATGTGTGCATCACATATGCCTCTCTCTTGTGTGATGGGCTCAGAACTCAGAAGATAAAACTCCTTAAACCAGTTGCTGTAGAGTCTATTCAACTCATGGCGACTTGCTGTGTGTCAGAGTAGAACTGTGCTCCATACAGATTTAATGGCTGATTTTTCAGAAGTAGATCACCAGGCCTTTCTTCTGAGGTGCCTCTGGGTGAACTCGAACCACCAACCTTTCAGTTAGCAGCCAAGTACGTTAGCCTTTTGCACCACCCAGAGACACCTAGTAAAGCTGTGTTTCTTAGATGATTACTTATTACAGTACTGCCACATTTCCATGAAG